GATACCAAGGGCTCAAGTAGAAAGCAAATGTTTTGAGAATGATGATGGCAACAAATGTACAAATGTGCTTGACACAGTGGATGGATGGATTGTGATAAAAGCTCTAACAGTCCCCAATAAAATGATTTTTTAAAGGGTGTACAGCCACTGTGGAACGCGGTACAGAGCTTCCTTAAGAACAATTGGAAGAAAGAAAAAAAAAGTAAGAGTGTACAACCACTGTGGAAAGAGGTACAGGGCTTCCTCCAATGGCCAGGGGTAGAAATACCCTATTACCCAGTGACCCCTTAGCTCGGTAGATACCCTAAAGAAATCAGAGCTATGGCCAGATGGATCCACACCCATGCTCATCCCAGCACTGCTCACCATAGCAAGAAGAGAGCAACCCCTAAATGCCCATCCGGGGAAGAGTGCATTAAAGAAACTTTGATGCCAACACACAATAGGACCCTCCACCCAAACTCACACTGACTGCCACCTTGTCCACTGTTACTTATAGTGACCCTAGAGGGCAGAGCAGAACTCCTCCTGTGGGTTTCCAAGGTGGGAGCTATCTATAGGAGTAGAAAGTCTTGTCTTTCTCCCCTGGAACAGTGGGTTGTTTTGAACTGCTGACTTTGTGGTGAGCAGCCCAGCACATAACCCATTGTGCCACCAGGGCCACCTCCGATGGCACACCACCCTTATCTCTAAAGCATAATGATAACACAGTGGATCACCTCATGACGTGGATGGATTTGTAGCATTCTCACTGTCACCGACCGAGTTGTTCCTGATTCAAAGTGGCCCTGTAGGTTTCTAAGGCAATGACTCCTCACCAGAATAGAAAGCCTCATCTTTCTCCCGCAGAGCAATGGATGGATTTGAGCCTCTGACCCTGCGGTTGACAGCCGAGTGCATCACCACGACACCCCCGAAAGGACAGACTATGTATGAGACCACTTATACAAGGAAAAAAATTAAGATAAAGGTTTTCATACCCAAGAAGCAGATGATACTGGTTGTCAGGAGTGGGAAGGTGGGGAAGAAGAGGAGCAATTAGCAAGGGGGCAGACAGGTGATCCCTCGGGTGAGGAGGCAGCCGGTACTCTATAGCAGAGCCAAGGTGGGGAAGGAAGGGGCAGGACAGGCTATTGGGAAGCTTGGTAAGTTGTTTAAATTGTTGCACACAAACATGATGAGCTGAAATCTAAGTCGCACCTAATTCACAATAAAGAGTTGTGTGTGTGTGTGTGTGTGTGTGTGTATTAAACAAGGGTTAACCTATAAGAGATTTAATATTTTAAAAGACAGTGAAACAAAGGAGAAATCGCAATGAGGTAATTTGCATGCTGGCAGAAAAGTTATTCTGACTTGGTGAGGGGAGAGTTTACAGAGGAATGGAGCAGACCCGGGAACTAGGCTTGTCCCTCCTGGAGAGAGGGGGAGTGCACTGTGGAGTGGGGGGGAAGATCAGAGGCTGTCACCAGACAAGATGGAGCCCCCAGGGTGACTTCTACCTGGCTGGGTTTTGAGAGGCATTGGAAAGTTCTCCACCACCCAAAACCTTCTCTATACAGATGACTATAATTCCTCCCATGGAGTGACTCAGGCTATTACCACAGAGGCCAGCTTCTTTCTTCCTATAAAATACAAGTATCTCTAGAAGGCGTTTCCATTTCTCTGTGAATGAGTCAGACCCCAGTATGCTAACAGACAGGAGAAAGGTCTGGGGGCCTGGAGAAGCAAGACCTACGAGGACTCCCCTACCCACCTGGGCACTCCAGGAGAAGGTCTTCCGGAGCAGCTTGCCAGGGAGGACTTCTGAGACGTCAAAGAGAAACTCGAAGATGAGATCATCCTTTTTAACAAAGTCCTCGTCATAGATGCTCAGTTCCAGAACATTCTAGACACCCAAGAACAGGAACTTAGTCCATGAGCAACAATAGTTGATTCGTGTTCCTTGACACCAACTTGATACCCAGGGCCAGAAAGAGGGCTCGACCCCTAGTCCTTCAAGTTTACAATGACGCTAACACTTCAAAGAAGTATAAGAAATCTAGAGTCCCCAAGTCCTCCCACCTAGTGTGTGCTCGCGTATGAATGAACATTAAGATTCCTTCAAAGAATCCCTCCTCCCTCTCTCGCAGGCTTTGCTGGTCCCCTGAGGCATCTCGGTACCAGGCAGAGGGCAATGCAGCCACAGTGCATCCATGGAAAACAGTCACCGTGGAAGCAGTTTTGACTTGCTGAACAGTCCCTTGCAGGCAGTGATGGAAGCAAGTAGAGACTGCTTACCCATGCCTCTGGTGCCAGGCTCTGTGCTGGGCATTCTCTTATCCAGCCTCCCAACAACCCAGTCAAGAGGAGACTCAGACTGTCTGCACTGAGAGATGGGCATGGAGAGGAAGCAGCTGGCCCCAAGTGGCTCAGACAGGCAGGTTGTGGAAGCACCACTTAGGTTCACACACTGTCTGGTAGCACACACGGGCCCAGATACTTGCTCCCAGCCGTGCTCTGACTGAGCCCGGGGGGAAAAGGTGTGTTCCCAAGAAACCTCCCTAGGATGGAGATGATCTGTCCTCATGTAGGTAGTCAGGTTTTTACCTTGACCTGACTCTGGATTCGGAAGGTGAAGGTCTCGTTCCATACAGGGTGGTTAGAGTTGGTGACCGTCTTGGTCTTAAACTGAGTTCCAGGCGCCGTCAGCAGCCGCAGGACCACATAGGGATCGGCCTGGCTCACTGCCAGTCAAGAGAACAGTGATGAGAGAGGACTCCCCACCCCCTCCTCCAGGGACCCCAGTGGCCCAGTGGACAGCGCAGTCAATCCCACGACACTCATTTGGTTCTGGAGCAGGAGAAGGGGGTGTCACCCTCCATCCCTCCTGGATACCAGAAGACCATGACTTACACAGATCAGCCCAGGGCAAGTTCCGAGCCTCCAGGACCTTCACGGTGAGCTGCCAGCAGGCAGAGGCCTCCTGGAGAGAAAGATCAAGGACAGACGGAGTCCCCCACCCAGACCTCCCTGCACCACAGCACTAGCCCTTTCCCCACCCCCCACCATTGACCACCTCCACCCCTGTGGAGGCAAAGTGTTCTCTGTGCTAAGTGTTCTCCCCCGTCCACTCTCAGGCATCTGGGGCAGCTCTATGGGGACCAGAGAACCTTTGTCACCACTGCTCTTGGGGCCACAGAGAACAGGTGGAATCTGGGTGACGCCCCCTTCAGGAACAGCGTTATACAACACAGTGGAGAAAGCTAGGACCTGAGGGCTAAGCCACGGTCACCCACTGGACATGGCACTTTGGGGTCGCCAAGAGCTGCTGGGGAAGGCAGCTCTGTGGTGGGGCCTGTGAGCCTGTGGTCCAGCACCCCCTCTGGACAGGGGACGGTACATGACATAGGGGGGCTGAGCCCTTGGGAGACCAATAGTTTGTGGTGGCCGCAGGCACTAGACTGGTGTTCAGCCCCTCTGTGCTCTCTTGGGTTGGAATGTGGAAGCTCCAGGAGGGCCAGGCTAGCTGTTAGCACCACCCATAGCTGCTGTGGGTGACAGGTCCAGTGATATTGCCGCTGGAGAGGCCACATCAGGCCACAGACAAGCCAAAGGGGTGGTGGGGGCGGGGTGGGAGGGATGAGAAGAAATCAGATGTGCAGAAGCTCTGAAGTGATGAGCAGAGAGCCCTGCTGGACACAAGCACAACCGGTTGGGTGTCCCCCAGCTCCTCTGTGGAGGGCCCAGGGGCTGCTGGGATGGGAGGGCACATCTGGGCTCTGCTCTTCTGGGCACCTGCACAGGTTTCTCGCAGCTGGCCCTCACTCTGAGGGAGAAAGAGGAGACTTTGTGGGGCGCCCCCCATGAGGATTTATAGTCTTGAAAGTCCTCTGGAGCAGTTCTACCCACCCTAGAGGGTCACCCTGTGTCAGAGTGGACTCAAGGACAGTGAGTTTGGGTTCTGGGGTATCCGAGGTAACCCAAATAGGCTGGCAGGGCCCGGGTGCATTTATTTCCCCTCTGGGTTGACTCCAAGGGAGGTAGACACAAAGCATTGTCTTGAAAGGACCCTGTCCAAGAAGGCCACCTGTGGGGCACATGGTTCCAGGGGGACAGCCCTGTGCATGGAAGACTGAGAGTGGGGGGTGCATGACCATCAGAACAGAGCATTGTCTGCCCCAGAGAATGGTGCAGTGGAGACCCCCAGCAAAGAGGGAGCTCCATAGGGTGGGCCACAGGGTGGCCCCACTCACATCCCCCAGCACGAAACTGCAACCCCTGGAGGGGTGCCACGGGGCCGCCCTGACCAAGAACCCCCAGAATTACCTCCATGAAGGAAACTCTCATGCGGGGGTTGGGGACTGGTACTGGGACCCAGAATTCTCTGCACCCAGGTTTAACTGACTAAGACCCCACGAGCCTCTTACACTCTTCACGGGCCTCTGGGTGCACCCTGCGGGAGCGCGCTGCTTGCGTGGCTGATGTGCGGCACTGCGTGGCTGCACGACAGGGCCTTCACACGCTCCCAACCAGTCCCGCATGTCTGAGCCTCGCTGCAAGTGGTCAGGAGGTCTCAGGCTCACACCAGGAACTGGTCTGCTCCACAGATGCCACGACCCACCCCGGCATCCTCGGGACCCAACTCTCCCCACCCCCCAGAGAACCTGAAGGAACAGCCACACAGGACTGCAGCCCCTGCCCCTCACCCCTTCCCACGCCTGCATCTTCCCTCTCCTGTGTCTCCACGCCAGCTGGAAGGGGGCCCACATCCCCATCATCAGTGATGGCTTTCATGCAGGGCCTCTGCCCCATGACCAGCAAGGCGGGCTTGTCTCTCTCTCTCTCTAGGCAGTGCCACATTACCCAAGATGCCAGGCAGGCCCGGGCTTTCATGGTTTCTCATCCCATCAAAGATGCTGCTTCTAGGTCTGGCTGGCCTCTTTCTCGCTCACAGCCCACAAGCCCTTCCTGCAGCTGGCTTCCACATAGTCCTGTGCAATCCCTGACCGACAGAGTGCCTCGTCGGCCAAGTCAGCACAGGCGAAGGTGAGCTCGCTTACTAATCTGGAGTGAGCGGCTTCCCTTGGGAAGGAGGCACAGGTTTCTTACCAGAGGAAACTCACTGGAAATGGATACACCCGTGCCCACCTTGCCTCCTAGGTAATCCACTCCAGCCTCGTGGGGATTATCCTTGGCAGGTGGCACCAGCAGCCTGCCCCCTCAGTAGGCCTTAAGCCAATGTTGTCATTGACAGAGATTTCATCATTTTTCAGGCACCTGGTTCCACTTCCTCCCTGCACCCAGATTCCTCAGCTGCACCTCACAGGAAAGGTGAGGACTGGGACCCTAGAGCCCTGAGGGAAGGCCCAGCCTTGCTCCTCCTGCTCCTCCAGCCACGTCCGGGGGTCTCCAGGAGACCCCCGCCTGGGATGGGGCTTTAAAGCCACTTTGGGCTACTAAGGCGTGTACCCGGTTGCCCTCTCCAAGCCAGTCACAATTCCCGCCCACTCTCACTGGCCACCTCTCTCCCTCAGAAAGGCTCCCCAGTTCTCAGACAGGGAATTTTTTCCCCCAAGGCTAAACCCAAGTACTTCTCTGCACCTGTACGACCACTGCTAACATAGAGCGCCCAAGGATGGACTATGGCAATAATTACAAAGGCTAGTCTCTACAAGAAGGTAATAGAAGAACCGTCTGCAGCCAGATCGCCCGGATCTAAACTCTGGTCTTGCCAGCTACTTGCTGTGTGACCTTGGCCAAGTTTCTTAACTTCTCTGTGCTTTTTTGGTTTCCTCATAGGAAGTGGGAAGACAAAGAAAGGGTCGCGACCTTAAGACTAAACATGTTAAATGCTTAGATGAATCCTGAGCAAGACAGTAAACGTGTTCTAGGTCACTGGACTCCTACTTGGAGAGGAACCATGGTTCTGGATGCTGTACGAAGCATAGGACATATTGTAATGTGATGTGCCCTGCCAGCGCCCTCGAAAGACAGCACTCTCATACCCTGGCCGCCCCCACCCCCAAACCCTCCCAGTTTCACAGACCACGGAGCTGTAGCTTTCCCAGGTGTAGAGTTAGTAGTAGTACTGACAGTCAAACCCATAGGGTTAAGGCCAGAGCTCACGAATAACCCTTGTCACTTTGTGCCTTTGTAAAAGCATGCAAGTCTCCTACCACCACCACCACCAATACCACCACCACCACTAATACCACCACCACTAACAACAACACCACTAATACCACCACCACTAACAACAACACTAATACTACCATCACGACCACCACTAATACCACCACCACCACTAACAACACCACCACTAATACCACCACCACCAATACCACTAACAACAACACTACCACCATCACCACCACTAACACCACTAATAACACTACCACCATCACCACCACTAACAACAACAACACTACCACCACCACTAACACCATCACCAACACCAACAACAACACCACTACCACCACTAATACCACCATCACCACCACTAACACCACCATTAATACCACCATCACCACCACCACCACTAACACCACTAACAACAACAACAACACTACCACCACCACTAACACCATCATCAACACCACCAACACCACCATCACTAACAACAACACTAATACCACCACCATCACTAACAACGCCACCACTAATACCACCATCACCACCACCACCACTAACAACACTAACACCATCACCATCATTAACAGCACCACCACCACTAACACCACACACACACTGTTCTGAGAATATCAAAATACTAGAATTGCATACATTTGTTTTTTTAATGAGAAGGATTATTGAACTAACATATTAAACCAATATGATTATTTTTGCCTGAGAACATTAAACCCCCAAATAAACTACACCCATGCCATTGAGTTGATTCTGAGTCATTAGGACAGATTAGAAATGCTTCCTACAGTTTTGGAGGCTGTAAATCTTTGTGGAACCAAAGAGCCTCATCTTCCTCCCACGGAGTGACTGGTGGGTTTGAACTACCGACATTGTGGTTAGCAGTCAAATGCTAAACTCACTACACCACCAAAGCTCCATCCCAAGGGCAGTGGAACCGAGTAAATCATTGGTCTCAGATGGAAGTTGCCTCCACGGAGCTCCTGAGACACATAGGGTGATCTCTCGGCTCCAGCCAGTGTCGGCAAGCCCACTGCTCTGCAATGGTGCACTGTGGGCCTGCTGGTCTCCTTCTGGGACTGCATGTGTGGTGGAGGGGGAGGCGGCTTGACTGGCCAGACTTGTGTTCTCTGGGCCCTATCCCTACCCACTGCACGTCTCCCTCTGCCTTGGCAGAGCCCCCAGGGATGGGCCCAGGCCCTCTTCAGAGACCAGAATCACTCCGATTTCAGCTGTGCTAAGCTTCTCAGGCTGCACCCTGGCCCCAGGCCCTCCCCTGACTGGTGCCCATATTGACAGATACTATTACCTGGTGAGGGTGGCCAGGGGGTTCTCTCGGTGACAGGTTCTCCATGCCAGCCCTTTTGTTCCTCTCCCAGCTCAGCCAGCACTGAGTGCCTGCTCCTGGCCGGGTGCTGTGACTATGCGATGGGATGGAACAGACAGTGACTCCACCAACCTCAGAGGAGTGACAGTCCTATAAACAGGTTGGGGCTCCACCCCCAGAGGTAACTTCCTCAGGCCAGCACCTTCCCCTCCTCTGGGTTAACCAGCATCTCCAGAAACTCCAGACTTGGGATGTCAGGGCGGAAGTTGTAGCCAAAGAGAGGAAGACGGTCCTGCAGGACAGTCGGGAAGCTGGCTCCCTGAGGGGGGAGGTCAGAGGCCAGGCAAGACAGAGATGAGGGGACTCTTGCAGCGCAGCCCTGTGCAGGCCACGCCAGCGGTGAGGGAGGGAGGTCCAGACACCTGCGACCCCACAAGGATCGGGCTCCTGGGCAGCTCGTGCTGCCCAATCTGGGTGATAGTAATTCCGGCCTTCAGCAGAGCGGGCCTTGTGCCTGCCCTGGAACACACTGGGGAGGGTTGCGGAGGGGGCTGAGCAGTGTGCTCAGACCGTACGCCCCTCACTCTTAATCCATTCCACCCTCACACCCTCGGCTGTAGCTGGTCCTAGGAGTTCCAGCCAGCTACCACTTTGTGGATTTCAACGCCTGGGAATCACACGTGTTTCAGAGCAGAACTGTGCCCCGTGGAGTTTTCAATGATGGATCTTTTGGACATAGATCACCAGGACTCTCTTCCGAGGGGCCTCTGGGTGGCTTTGAACCACCAGCCTTCCCATTTAGCAGGGCCGTTTGTACCACTCAGGGACTCCCACCAAGTTCCAAGGACACATAAGAAGCTCCTTAGAGCCCAGATCAGAGATGCAGATGGAGCTCAGAGCTAGCCTGGGCTAGGCTCCACGGTGCCTGCGGAATAGTCCCTGTGGCATCGGCTCGGGCACACATTCTGCTGCCACAGCTCCAGCATACCATGAGCTGTCCGCCCCACCTAGCAGGCCCCCTTGGCAGTTTAGAGGATTTCTACTGGAACCAAATGGCAAGCCTTTGTGATGGAGGTAAGAGAGCCAACCAGGGAAGGCCTGCAGTAATAATTCTAGAGAACAGAACCTGGTCGCCTGACTGTTTGAACCAGTGGTTCTCAACCTGTGGGTCACGACCCCTTTGGGGGCCGAACGACCCTTTCACGGGGGTCACCTGATTCAAAACAGTAGCAAAATTACAGCTATGAAGTAGTAACGAAAATAACTATTGTTGGAGTGTGTGGGGGGGGAGCTTTACCACAACATGAGGAACTGTATGAAGGGTTGCAGCATTAGGAAGGTGGCGAGCCACTGGTTTAAACCATCATGTGCATAAGAACATGAACTGCTCCCCTAAAATGGCATAAATGCACTATCTGATTGAACTTGTTTGGGCTTGCTTTGCAAGGCACATGAAGCCATGTTTGTTTATAAAGTCTTATCGCAGAGTTGGCCAAGAAAGAAAATTAATAACGGTCTGTGAACGAGTGAAAAATAAGGGAAGGTGAAGTATCCCTGATTTGCACAAATCAGGTTTAGGTTGAACATAAATGGCAGGGACTTTAAAGTCATCTGATGACTGGGGAGCAGGGCTCAGTCTATGCCTTGAACCTCTCTGTGGCCCCTCTCCCCTTCCTGGCCTGGAGTCCAACCACCAGGTAGTCCTTCCTTATTGGTGGCTTCTGTGGTCTGGGCCAGACCCAGAGCAATCCCAGATTTCCAGAGTCCTGAGAACATGCACCCCCTGGGGTGTGAATTAACACTTTCCCCCTGAACTGATATATATGGGCACACCTTGAGGGGCCCAGGTAGAGTCACAGCATTGACCCCTATAAGGTGACTTCCAGCTCTCCCCATCAGCGTGGACAAGTTAGGTACTCCCAAACTCCAGAAGACAGAAGCCCCAGGCCCAGCTGGTTGGCCTGGAAGGAGAACTTAGCTCTCAGTTTCCCATCTATCTATTAATGATGTGGTAGATTTTGGGTCTGGGGGAAAACACACAATTCCTGACTCACCAGAGATTCTGAATTTGGGATGAGGGTCCGTGGGTTGGATTTAGGACAGTGCAGAGAGTCACTGAAATTATGTGCAAAATTATGTAGGTATGCGATTAGCAGGAGGCCATGGATGACAGTGGGAACTCAAAATCCATTTGCAGGCTCCTAACCTGGAGTAAGCCTCTGATGAATCCCCCTCTGACCACAGCTGGGGGAGGTGATTAACCTTGCCATCAGGCAGAGAATATAGTACATGCAATGATCGCGGACGTTATTGGGTTAAAACGTGACACCTAATCATTTATTTCATCTCCTGTTCGACGCATTTTAAATACAGTGATAACTCGGTTGTCGAACGGCTCCAGGTTTGAACTTGCCACTCCTGTAACAGCAAAGTCTGAAAGAAAAAAATCTCCTCGGTGTTCAGAACTTTGCTTGAAAGTCAAACGGAAAATCAGACTTGAGAGACCCCGTATGGGCGAGGGAGTCACGAATCGAGCCTCGCTCACCGTCCAAGCGCCGCTCTCACTTGGCCAACACACAGTGCTCGTATGGATGCGCTAAAACGTTTGTCCTCCCTCGTGCTTTTGTGTATGTGCGCGCGCTTTATTTGCGTAAAATACCATCACCACAGCTTCCAAGAGAGTGAGCGATCCCAGCAGCAAAGCTAAGAGGAAAACTGTGCGAACCACGAGAGTTAAAGAAAGAAATTTCAAAAAACAAAATAAACATTTAAAACAGAAAGAACGCATTGCGAAGTTGTCTGATTTGGCGGCTGAAATCAGCATGGCTAAGTCAACATGACCAACATGTTTGGGGGGTGGGGGTGGGGGGGATGTGATTGAAGTGGCTTAGGTGTGAAATCGTTAACCGTGAAACAAAAGCTTAGACCATCCAAGAGGTTGAAAAGTTGCTGTTCATTTGGGTAATGCAGACACAGTGTTGGAGGCAGTGATTGGTGAGAAAGCTAAAACTTTCCACAGTGGTTTAAAGTCCTGGAAAAATGAATGCATACGTGCAATTTGGGGGCCTCACAACCAATTATTTTGTTTTCCACTACTTCTTACGGGAAAAATACATTCAGTTCTCGAGCTGTTTGGTGTTCGAACATGAACTTGGAACAAATTGAGTTTAACAACCAAGTGCCACTATACGTTCTGGTTTTTGATGCTCCCTGCTCTGTCCTTGAGTGGGTTTTTCCCCCCTGGTTTGTTATTTTTGTTGTCTTGCTCATGTGTCTGTATGGTTTTCAGTAGCTGGAGATCAGGATGGTGAAGCTATAAAGACAGGAACTGGATGGAGGACCATTGGTGGCACGGGGGGGAGGGGTTGAAGGGAAACGGGGAACTAATAACAAATACACGAGGGAGGAAACTGTTTGGAACTGATTGTAGAGATGATTGCACAGCGCTTTTCAATCTGACTGAGCTATGGACGTATCTGATGTAAAACCATATTGTCAATAAAACTATGTATCTTAAAACGATGTCGGTATGTGCGTAGGATATTTCTGAGGACAGGGTGTAGATCAACACTGTCCAGTAGAAACATGATACCAGTCACGTGCGTCACATGGAGTTTTCTAGAAGCCATGTTAAATATATGTGCATGGCTGGGGGGGGCGAGGGGGGGGCTGATCCCAAGGGCTCAATGGAAAGTAAATGTCTAGAAAAGAACGATTGAATATATGTACTAATATGTTGGATACAATTGATGTACGGATTGTAACAAGAGTTGTAAAAGCCCCCTATAAAATTATCATATATATATATATACACACATGTGAAATTCTGGGCACCCGGTTTTCAGAAGACTGTGGGTGAAAGTGAAAGCCCATGGGGATTAAACCTCCTGTGAATGCCCTCCAACCATTGCCCTGGGTGTGACTAGCCTTGTTATCTGAAGAAGGGTATTAGAAAGTGGGTTGATACAATGTAGTTAGATTGAAATTTAACACTTTATTGGTTGTTCTCCCGTTTGACACATTTGAGATTTGTTTTAGTTTTCATGACCTTTGGCTTTCCTTTGGATTGAGATTTTTTATTTTTATTTTTTGGTCTTTTATTTTGTTATTGATATTGGGTGTTTTTGTTTGTTTTTGTATATTTTTCTTTATATGAAATCCAGGAATGGTAAATCTGTATAGACAGTACCTGGATTAGTAATTGCTTAGGGTTATGGCAGTGGAAGTTGTAGGGAAATGGAAAACTAATAAAAATTAGTCCATAAATAAAGAAAATGTTCTGAAATTGATTGTGGGGGTGCTTGAACAATTCTTTTTAATATGTTTAAACCATTGACTTGTATGGCCTGTGAATTATATGTCAATAAAACAGTTGAAAGACATACATGTGAAATTCATTTCAGTAATTATTTTATTATCACATCATATATAATTACATAATTAAATAATGTTTCACTTAATCCAATATGTTCAAAATGTTATCAATTTAATATGTAATCAGTATCCACATTTATTGAGATATTTTTAAAATCATTTTATTGGGGGCTTGTGCAACTCTTATCACAATCCATACATACATCCCTTGCATCAAGCACATTTGTACATTTGTTGCCCTAATCATTCTGTGATATTTGCTTTCTACTTGAGCCCTTGGTATCAGCGCCTCATTTTTCCCCTCCCTCCCCGCTCTCTCCTCCCTCATGAACCCTTGATAATTTATAAATTATTATTTTGTCGTGTCTACACTATCCGACATCTCCTTTCACCTACTTTTCTGTTGTC